TTTTTCATGCACTCATCATGAAAAAACATACGCATTGATGAATTCTCGCACATTCGACATTATACCCTATCTTAAACTTGTGTCTGGATGACAGTGAGCCTACTTCACTGACACGTTCGCTCGACTCGGCTTCCACTGGGATAACATGTGACGAGATTGCCTTTCCTCTTACCAACGTGTCGACTCACTGGCAGATGTAGTCGAGACCATTTTTCCTCATACCTAATTGCCCACACACTGGCACACGTTGACGAAATCACGCTAGCGTTACCTACACACACAGCACACGTCCCATATGTGGCAGTAATTATGAACTCGCGTGGAGTATGTAGCCCGATTAATGCGTGCCGTGAAACAGTCTGCCTCCCACTTTGGCCCGTAATATCTACAGTGCAGCCCATTGCGAGAACCGAGAAAACCACCCACCAGGTCGACATCGACAGATTATATAACATCATTTTAAGCTTAATATTGTGGATGTGCGATAACTCATTGTACGTATAAACACCTACACGCGAGTTAATTATCAGCCAGTTCCCAGCAGTGATGGCGTTGTACTGATGAGCTCCAGATCCACACACAGACATTATTTTAGCCTTCAATAATGCCATTTCAGAAATCATGATCTAGGTGTAAGATCTAATCGGTTTCCGGTTCCAAAACAACTATATTAACGAGCTAGGCACATGGGAAGTGACATACCTTTCTTCTCAGCGACCGCATCTCCTTCTCCTTTAGCATTCTACTGTACGCCCATTCACAGATACTAAGGGCGTTAAACTGCCATCGTAAATAATTTGCTGAGTAATCAAGAGCCTTACATGGCAGCGAAATATAAAAATTATAACGGTTCAAACTAGGACTGTCAATAAATACGACTCAGTGAAGTATTCGTCCGTGTGCGCTGCGCAGGAAAAACGACAACGTTGTTAGCTTAGCTCATGTTTGTCTCAAAAAATGTCACAGTTCACGGCAGACTGAAATGCCAACGAACGCAATGACCCATGTCTAGCCCCCTAACCACCTTGGGCCAATCACCAACACAGGCGGCTGTGTTACATACGCCAAGCGGTCAGAGGTAGTAAAAATTCACAATTTTTTACGGTGATATACTGATCTGGATTATTTGCCTTGACGTAACGTGTAACCGAGAGGAAAGGAAGGCCGAAAAGGTTACGGAAAATGTTCATTGACACTGCCAAGTGATACAATTATAATTTCCCAAACCGCAACCGAAGAGAATACTGGACAATATCAAGACGAGAAAGAAGTAAAAAAAAACGAAGAAAAGCTTTGTCCTTGCTAGGATAATAGGCCAAGATACTCAGCACGCGGGTACACCTTCAACAACTCCGGCCATTGTACGATTACCCTGGCTAGATGACAGTAGTAGAGGATTTTGCCAGACAAGGAAAGCGTTTGCGTACGACAGATGCTCTCTACGAACACCAGTGCTGTGCGCTTACGCATGAACAACTAAGAACGAGCAGTAAGTAAATGTACAAAGACGAAGGGCGTACCTGAACAAAACCAGCTACAAAGCAGATGGGAATGCATGTACCCGGGCCATTGCAAAGTACCTGTCGATTAAAAGAGAAAAAGTACAAAGCAAAGAATAGCAAAGGACATAAACAGTACTGCAAAGGTCCTGATTATTCGCAATAAACAGAAGTCGCAC